GTGAAAAAACTTGTTCATATCCTATCCAGTTGATAAACTCTATTACACGAAAATCGATAGCCTCAGATTTTTACGTGGAACTGTAGGTTTTAGACTGTGATCCATGGAGTCTTGGAGGACAAACAGTGCTTCAGAGGCCAGTGGGGGACCCCTAGGGCTCCTGCTTTCTCCCCATGCTGGAGTGCTGCTTCAGGTCAGATTTCAGTAGATAAACCACTTCCTTTAAAAAACAAAAAAAGTCTTCACTATTTTTTTTTTCGGAGTTTGGAAGCCACTATAATGACTGTCACCCGATTAATTTTCTACTAGTTTTTACATACTCAGAGACCTCATGTTTTTTTGTAAGAAGAATATTTTGGATGTCTCAGTTGCTGCTTGGAATGTGGCCACTGGGCTGTTTCACAAACTTTAAAGGCATTTTGTTGAACGGTAAAGCACTGACAGCCTCTGTTCCTTGTATTTCTAATTGTAGTATAGAAATTGTTATATTTAATTTTAGTTGTGTAAATACACACACTCTCACACACACACACTTACAACCCTCACATGTGTAGTCACCACATGAGATTCACAGGTCACAAAAAGGCTCACTCTAAGGTTCCACGGAAAGAACCAAAAAATGTCACCCTCTGATACAGAAGTTCACAAAACAAATGATTGAACTTGGTCATTTACAGAAATATCTGCAGAAAATAAGTCAGCTAGAAGCCATAAACTTAAATGTTCTGCTGATTCCAGACCTAGGGTATTTCCTCAGTCTCTGAAAGATGCCCTGGGCTACCTCAGTGTTAAAGTGTCGAAGCAGAATGCACTTACTATAATGTAGGAAATCTGCATTGTGTGTTCCTTTCTGATGGCTGACGTGGAATGTTGAAGAGAACTGGAACATTAGGTAGCTGTGTCTGTTCCTCTAACATTGTCCAGGCAAAGGGGCATGCTGATCCGATGAGGAGGTCGGGCTACCTGGGCAATTCCCAGAGTAAGGAAGGGCGCTTTGTGTGTGGTTGGGTGATAATGGCTCATAAGGACATTTGTCATTTTCCTGGTCGGGGCTCTGCCCGCAGTCTTTCAAATTTGATCTGCTTGAATGAGCCCGGCAGATAAATTGGCTCCAGTCTTAATCCTGCTGTATGCAAGTTTAGAGCAGCCGGATCCCTGGCCCTGATCACGTGCGCGTGAACTGGCTGAAGCGGGTCTGCGAACTCCCGGTGTCAAGGACGCTTGTGACGGCTCCACCTGAGCAGCCAGCTGGCCTCGTGCACCTTCTCCCGCCGTGGCCACCATACCCTGTCCCTACACTTCACTTCCCTGTGTCAGTTGCTTTTGTTGTGTTGAGTCTGTGTTGCTGTGGTCAATGCCTACAGACAGAGAAATGTGAATTAAAGCATTTGATATGTTGAAGATGTTTGCTTGTTTTTAATAAAATTTAAAGTGCAGCACTTGAAAAGTATGATTCTGTGTTGTTTTCTGACACAACAGTGAGGAAACAGCTTTGAGCTGGTTTCACCGAAGATGGTCCTTGGTCTACGGCAGGACAGACAGACATACTGTGTGGACGGAAAGACAAATACACAGACTTAGAGACTGGCTCGTGGCAGAGTGGAGTAAGAAAGGGAATCCAATAAGTGATTTTTGTCTCAGTTTTGGTCAGTACGGGGGAAAAGTAGAGAATCTATACCTCGGTTGAAAATCCAGCCTCTGGCACTGTTTTAACATTGGACAGGTTACCTGTTCTGGCCGAGCCCTGCTGCTCGTTGTAAAAGTGGGAAATAGGCCAGTGTAGTGGTTGCCAGCCCCCGTGCTTAGAGGAACAAGGCAGGTGGAGAAGGTGGGACTGCAGCAGATGAGAGCGCGTGATCACAGGCAAGCAGGTCCAGCCAGAACAGAACTCCTCTGTCTGGAAAAGACAGAAATGTGGACTTTCTGTATTAAATATGATTTTAAGATGTGGGTTGGCAGCTAATCACCTGTAGCCTCCCACAGGCTTATACGAGGATTATAGCAGGAGGGAAGGGTGAGGGCACCCTCTCGCCCAGCGGACATTTCCATTTCATTCCATTCGAATTTTTATAAAGCTTTACGGCTTAGCAACTATGATCTGGATTTCACATGACATTTTGTGGCAGACAACATTTTTCATTCATTTCATTAAGCATTAGAGGAAGAAGATTCTGTAGTCCAGCTGCATTCTGTCATCTTTACTCAGAATTTTTACTTTTTATTTTTAAAATAATTTAAAATTCATTGCTCACTTGCCTGCCTTTGTTGAAACAGGCAGTACCAAGAATCATGCACCTTTTCTTGGTCAATAATTTTAAGCCTGACTCCTCGTGTCTGGCAGTGATACCCACAGAAGTTCACAAAGAAGGCTCTTTAGTAACTAAATAGGCTGAGTGTGCCATATTTTGACTTCCTGAACAGCTTTAACACACATTTACTGGGCACTTAAGGA